GGCCCTAAACCCTAGTCGGATAAGCACCCTCCCATTTTCCGTAGATTTGGCTACCGAACCTCCAATTTAGTTTCGGCACTCTGCAAAAAATGATCCTGTATACTACTAGGTATGTCATAGAAGCGTTCTAGAACCTCCAAGGCATTCGGGAATAAGACACCTCATCTCCCTAGGTTCTCCTTCGACGCCAATGCAACCGAATTTCTCAACCATGCTTAAACCACCCGGAAGCCCGAGCATGACATGGATTTCGCGCTTGCAGACACTGACTTATAGGCGTTGTGCTGACAAGAGATGTGGCAAAGGGGAAGCATCCTCCTAACTGTTGGGGCCCGCAGGTTCTTCGCCTGATCTGAAACCCCCCCCCAAACCTTTGCAGATGAACTCTATAGACATTTATAAATGTGAGGTTTAGGATGTAGGGCGCAGGGGGATAACCTACAGCATGTGGGGCGCACCCAAACATTATCCCTATCTCTCCTACCCTAGAAGCCTCCAAACCAAGAACTGTCAGCCCAGAGCCCAGGACCCAAAACCCCAGACCCAAAACCCCAAACCCTGAACCCCAAACCCTAAACCTTCAGCCCTAAACCAAACCCTGAACCCCAAACCCTAAACCCTCAGCCCTAAACCCTAAAGCCCAAATGCCCTAAAGCCCAGCCTCCAGTGTTGGACTCGTCATGAGGACGGGCTTGGCCAAGTCGGACTCGAATCGCGAGGCCAGCCCAAACTGTAGTCAAGCGGCGTTTAGGGTTTCTAGGCTGCCCAGTAACCTAGGCTTAAAAAGGGTGTCCTTTTTCGCTTAAAGGGGTTGAAAAGGGAACCTAAACCCTCCAAAAAGGGAATAAGGGCACTACTGGGCATCCTAGGTTTAGGGTTTGGGGTTTAGGGTTTAGGGATGGGTCTCAACCAGTGCCGTAGAGACGGGGTTGAGACTTTAGGGCGTTTGGGGTTTAGGGTATGGGTTGGGTTGATCTCCTGAGCCCTGAACCCAAAACTCCAAACCCTGAGCCCTGAACCGCCATTAGAACAAGGAGCCCCCCCCCCCCCCCCCCACGAGATCTGCGAAATTACAAGGTCCCAAAGTCCCCGCAAGCTACCCTAACCCTAAACCCTAATAAACCCTAAACCCTGAACCCTAAACCCTAAACCCTCAACCCTCAACCCTCAACCCTCAACCCTAAACCCAAGTAATCGTGCAACCTCAGCCAACCTCTCCAAGTTCTCCAGAGAGCACAGACACTGTTTCCGGCCCCTGTTTCTCATGGGCAAAGTCTGGAGCCACCAAAGACCAAGGTCGCAGATCATCTGCAACTACTAGTTGCTTAAGAGCCCGAAAAAATAGAAGGATTCTTCCTTATTAAGGGTCATGTAGGGATTCTTACCCTTCTTCTTTTGGGGCTCTTATGCAAATAGTAGTGTAAGATTCAGGTGGGGAGGAAAAGTGCGATTCACAAGGCCCAAGAAACTAACATGAAAAATCAGCACAGTGCTCAGCAAGTCAGTTCTTCTAAGCCCTTGCCAAAAAATGCCTCACCGGCCTTGCCAGTCATCCCAACGCCAATCGCTCTCTGCACGGGACTGCTTTGGCGTAAACCCTAAACCCTAAACCCTAAACCCTAAACCCTAAACCCTAAACCCTAAACCCTAAACCGCAAACCCTAAACCCCAAACCCTCAACCCTAAAGGCTGTAGGCCGACTCGACGGAATAGGCTGAACGAGACTGGCCTTGCTCTTCGACCCTGGTTGAAGCCGGAGCTATAGGCGCCATGATGTTGACTGCTGCAGCTTGCAGCTTCAGACCGAAACCTGTAGACCCAAAGACCCTTAGCCCTAGAGGCCCTGCAGAGCACCCAAATGGGTTTAGGGTTTTAGGGCTTCGGCTTGAGGGTTTAGACTCACACACACACACTTAGGCCACAGAGACACCGGAAGCCTGAATCCTAAACCCCGGACCCTCTAGGGGTTCTACCTCGGACACTTAAGGTTGTGCCCTTGGGTTGAAATATCGGGGCCATATTTGGAACTTTTTAGGGGCACAGCCTCAGGACTGCGAGTCTTCATCCCTTGAAACCCCCCAGACCCTAAACCCTAAACCCTAAACCCTAAACCCTGAGACCCAAGACCCCAAACCCCAAGCCCTAAACCCTAAACCCTAAACCCTAAAACCTAAACCCTAAACCCTAAACCCTAGACCCCAAGAATGCCCCGCCTCCGCGACCTCCCAGACATCCTCGGAGGCCTGCCTGTCTCTGAGAGGGTAGTTCAGGGTTTAGGGTTTAGGGTTTAGGGCGTTTAGGGCGTTTAGATAGGTTATCGAAATCCCTATAGGCTCCTGGGGATCCAGCAAGACAGGCAACAGCATGCGTAACTGCATGTGCACAGGGTTTAGGGTTTAGGGTTTGAGGGGTTTGTGTGCACATGCGGCGTCGCAGTCGCTCGTCTTAGCTACATCCACATGCCTAGCTGTCGGGATGCCGCCCCCTTGTTGGGTTGCGAAACTAACTGTCAGGCTCCACATCGCAAGAGGAACCCCAACCCCTGACCCCTCACCCCTCAACCCTAAACCCTAAACCCTAAACTCGAGGCTGTCGCAAGCAAAAGGCTCGCCTGGCGTCCGGAATATAGAACAGGTGCTCGAACGTTCGGTCACCATCCGGCTCCACGCCTAAGATGCGTGTTTTGGGGTTTAGGGTTTCGGGTTTAGGGTTTTAGGGTCCAGGGTCTAATTATTTTGTGTTCTTTTGGGGGGGGGGGGGGGGGGGGGGGGGGGGGGGAGGGCTTAGAACTTGGTATGAACTGCATTCCAACTCTAACGCAAGAAGGGCACGCACTTTGGATCAGCCCCCCCCCCCCCCCCCACATCCCGATACCCTTGGAACAAGGTCTTAGGATTTAGGGTTTAGGGTTGAGGGTTTAGGGTTGAGGGTTTAGGGTTTAGCCTGAACTTCATTCCACAAATGCGCAGACAGTCGAAAGAATCTAGACCTGGACAGTTTCGAAGCCCTAGAGCTACAACCCCGAAACTCAAAACTCGAAACCCGCAACCCCTAAACCCTAAACCCTAAACCCTAAACCCTAAACCCTAAACCCTAAACCCTAAACCCTAAACCCTGACGTTAGACCATTGGGCAGGGGTATCTTCATCTGCGCAATCGCCTCAAACCGCCCTCGCACTGCACAACACCCAGACTTCAACAAGACCTCGGGTTTAGGGTTTAGGGTTTAGGGTTTAGGGTTTAGGGTTTAGGGTTTAGGGTTTCGGGTTTAGGGTTTCGGGTTCTACAACTTCGGGGGGACCACTTGCGATTGAAGATCTCCTAAGCGCTATAAGCCCTAAATGACAACGCTGTCGTTTTCATAGCCCCACGTCCTATAAACCCCCACAACCCAAAAACCAAAAACCCTAAATGGTCTAGGGTTTAGGGTTTAGGGACCCTAAACCCTAAACCCTAAACTCCTAAACCCCTAAACCCTAAAACCTAAACCCTATACTAAATCCCTAAACCCTAAACCCTAAACCCTAAACCCTAAACCCTAAACCCCTAAACCCTAAACCCTAAACCCTACACCAGAAGAAGCCGTGGTTCGGCACGATAGGCTTCGGGATCCCTACCTCCATTCCACTCCAGCCTCCTCACCAGTGACGTGAGCGTAGCGCGGACAAGCCAATAAAAACCGTGGCCGCCATCATGCAGTGCCGCACTGTGGTAAGATGCGGGACGTGCTCATTTCTCTTCTGTAGCTCAGGTTACTCTGGTTCACGAAGTCTCCCTCGACTGCGTTGTGGTTGGATTTAGGCTAGTAGGTCCCCCAAACCCCTCTATACAGGCTTGGATTTTGGCCTGCACGGGCCCAATCCAGGAAGAGACCATGTCCCTTCAGCCTTCAGCTTGCCTTCAAGTTTGGGCGGGGTGCATCTTCTACTACTAGTTAGATCCCGGACGATGCCCGCTACCCCTACCTTGAATACTCAAACCCTACTTTTGCTTTAGGGTTTAGGGTTTAGGGTTTAGGGTTTGGGGTTTGGGGTTTGGGGTTTGGGGTTTGGGGTTTGGGGTTTGGGGTTTGGGGTTTGGGGTTTGGGGTTTGGGGTTTAGGGTTTAGAGTTTAGAGTTTAGGGTTTGGGGTTTGGGGTTTGAGGCTTAGGGTTTTAGGGATTAATTTAGGATTTAGGGTTTTTAAGATCCTATAAAAAGGTTTTATCAGAAGAACATAAGAAAGAAGGTTGAGGTTCCAGGCAGGTAGACTTCAAAGCTAGCTGTAAGGGTTTAGGGTTTAGGGTTTACGGTTTAGGGTTTAGGGTTTGGGTTTGGGGTTTAGGGTTTAGGGTTAGGGTTTAGGGTTTAGGGTTAGAAGTACCCTGAACGAGTTGGTAAACAATTTATCGAGGACACTCAAACACGCAATACTCAAAGCCAGGGCCCGACAACCTAAAGCCTAAAGCCTAAAGCCTAAAGCCTAAAGCCTAAAGCCTAAAGCCTAAAGCCTAAAGCCTAAAGCCTAAACCCTAAACCCTAACCCTAAACCCTAAACCCACAACCCTGAACCCTAAACCCTGAACCCTGAACCCTAAACTGCCATCCCCGGGTGAGAAGGAGTCCAGGGTTGGGGGTGTAAGGGATTGGCTCGATCCGGTCGGCCTGACAGTGTCTAGGCCCACTCTTCGCAGCCTACATGCCCCAAACCCCTAAACCCTGAGGTTTAGGGCTTGGGAATCTTAGGTTGAGGGGTGTTGGGGACTCCATGAAAGGTGTTCGCGAAGGCTGAAAGCTTAGGGTCTCAGGATGAGCGTTCGGGGCTCTTTAGGATTCTTGGGGCGAGGAGGGGGTGTTGTAGGTTCATGGACCGAGCTTGATCGTAACTACGCATGGCACTCACGATACTCTGTGCCAACTTTTTCCGTAAGGAGGGTCTGGTTGCATCTGCTCTCTTCGTCGTGTCGGTGATACACTGATACACACCTTCAGGGGCCCTTCTCGACCCCAAAACGGCTGAATCAGTCGATGAGGGGGTCTGGCCAGTTCGCCGTGGGGTATCCCAACAGCGCCTGCCAGGTCTTCAGTTGCTCCAGAATAGCAGGATCCAACGACAGAAGGGCGGCGCTCGCTGTCGCCATGCAGTCGGGGTCATTCCTAGGATGCCCCCCCCCCCCCCCCCCCCCAAAAAAAAAAAAAAACCTGTGGAAAAAAAGGCTATTTCCTAAACATGATCTCCTACCTTAAGCCGAAGAAGGGAAAAGCCAAGCTGCCCCAAGGGCCGACCTAGCTTCTATACTCCCCTTAGAACCTTCACAGCAATAATATTTTGAATGCCCTCTTGGGTTTTATATGAACAAAAATTTAAAAATAATTCCCAAGGGGGATAACGGATTCTTCTTAATATCCTCTTGGGTTTTACGGAAACAAAACTTAAAAAAAAAAAAAAAAACATCATTCCCAAGGGGGATAAAGGATTCGTGTGCTCGCCGCCGGACCCAGGGTGTCGATGCAAGTCTGCCACTTTGGCATCCTCCGCGAGCTGTTGGAGAACAGATTCGGAGACCAAGCCGTCAAAGAAGTGGCCCAAGAGTCCTCCAAGGGTTTAGGTTTAGGGTTTAGGGGTTTAGGGTTTAGGGTTTAGGGTTTAGGGTGTAGGGTTTAGGGTTTAGGGTTTAGGGTCCTTGCATGACTTTGTCGAAGTCGGCCGAAGAGTTTGTCACTTCCTCGTAGCGGATCGTAAAGGTCTCAAGCGGGGTCGTGTGGAGAAACATGTCGGCCATGTGGCTAAATTGCCTGTGCATTTCCCAGTTCCAGAGAATCATCATACCGTGAGCTGGGCCATTGGACCTTTGCTGATCTTTGCATGAAGTACCCCAAACAGGAATTCGCACCTCCGAAGAGACGCCCCGGTTCTCCCTTTTCATCTAGACCCGGAAGAAACAACCTTACTTGAACTTAATTGTCTCTCCCTTTTGGGTTACCCAAGTTCGTGGTTCGAAGGCAACCATAGGCATCACATACAGAGCAACTACAACTCAGGATGTCCAATTGCAACCAAGGGGCAAGAACTCCTCCCAGGGGAAATGTGCCTTGGTAGCCCAGTAACCATATATGAAGTAGCGTTTATATTACGTGTATCCCCTAAAGGACACCCAAGATATACACTCACCAAAATTAAAAATGGAACCTTATATACACTCGCCAAAAACAGTCATATGAGCCCTGCTTCATATGAATCAGGGTACCTTTTTGGGTTGGCTACTTGAGAAGGGAACCTTGAACCAAAAAAAGGGTAAAGGGTGCTACTGGGCCCCTAAACCCTAAACCCAAACCCTAAACCCTAAACCCCAAACCCCAAACCCTAAACCCTGAACCCTAACCCCTAACCCCTAAACCCTAAACCCTACACCCTAAACCCTAAACCCCAAACCCTAAACCCTAAACCCCAAACCCTAAACCCTAAACCCCAAACCCTAAACCCTAAGCCAAGGTGCAAACTGTGCGTCGGTGGCCTCCTTCAGGCGCTTGGAGTAGCAGTAAGCCGAGACCAGCATGTCCTTCGGCTTCCTGATGGCATGCACAGCCTTGGTTAAGGGGAAAAAGGATTTAGGGTTTAGGGTTTAGGGTTTAGGGTGTAGGGTTTAGGGTTTAGGGTTTAGGGCACAGCCTTGGGGCCCAAATGAGCCCTTGGAGGTTCGTGGTTAGGGTTTGGGGGTATAAGGTTTAGGGTTTAGGGTTTAGGGTTTAGGGTTTAGGGTTCAGGGTTCAGGGCTTAGGGCTTAGGGTTTAGGGGGCTACTTGGAGGTATCGTAGTACTTATAACCGAATTACTACTGTACTTGTACCCCACTGATTAGCCCTTCAAGTGCCCCAACATGGTTATAATAGGGTTATGAGTAGGTATAGTTGGGACATTAACTTGGCTGCACTTAGGGGGGTAGCTAAAAATTAAATTTTTAGCTGGCTTCTTAAGAAACCCAATAAACCCCAAAAGGCTAAGGATCTAAAGTTACAGCAAAGCACCACAAAGTTAAGAGGGGATTTTTGCCTTGGCTGACTTCTGAACCCCTCCTAAGAGTTTCACTGTTGGGCTCCTTGTTGTAGTTTCTACCAAAACTCAAAAAGTTAAAGTCCCAAGAGCCAGCCCAGAAGAAAGCCAAGAAAAGGCTGTACTGGTTCATATACCTTCATAGAAATTATCGCAGTATAGTAGGTCTACCCCTAGTTGGTTTTAATGGCTCATATGCCTTAATAGGACATGTAGCAGCATCGGGTGGATGACCCCAACTTTCTAGGGTTCATTTGGGTGGTTGTCAAAATTAAACCCTAAACCCTAAACCCTAAACCCCAAACCCCAAACCCCAAACCCCAAACCCTAAACCCTAAACCCTAAACCCTAAACCCTAAACCTTTTGGTGTTCAAGGAGCCCGAAAGTCCAGGCGCTGGCTCCGCGCCATGGCGCGCGCCGACTGCACAGCAAAAGGGCTCGGGTTTGAGTGCACCTGCCGGGGGGTTTAGGGTTTAGGGTTTAGGGTTTAGGGTTTAGGGTTTGGGGTTTGGGGTTTGGGGTTTAGGGTTTAGGGTTTAGGGTTTAGGGTTTAGGGTTTAGGGTTTCCGAACTTAGGGGGTACCTTGTTGGGGCCCGCAATTCTAAGGGGGAATTTTACTTTTTTGGGGTGTATGCTAGGGGTCCCTTACTAACCCCCCCCCCCCACCTGGATGGTGGAGTTGGGATACTGCTCGCAGGGCACGCTGTGGGTGGTCAGTGCGTTTTCAGGAACTTGGGTACAGGATCGTGGTTCGCCGAGGCCCGCAAAGATGGCTGCCAGCGCCTCTTGTAGCATCAACGACCCAGACTTGTGGTGCTCCTCAGCTGATACTGGGCAAAAGCCCATGGAACCCAAAACAATTCCCGAAGGCTTCCTTATCATGTCGGCCCTAAACCCTAAACCCTAAACCCTAAACCCTAAACCCTAAACCCTAAACCCTAAACCCTAAACCCTAAACCCTAAACCCTAAACCCTAAACCCCAAACCCACTCAGACTGAGAAAGCTTGATTCCAGAAACGACCTCGGCTCTGCAATGAAGTACATGCGGACATCCCAGGGTTTCGGTGCGCTTGCAGCTTTCCGCCTGGAGGCGCCCGACTGCACCAGGGACACCTCAGGGTTTAGGGTTTAGGGTTTAGGGTTTAGGGTTTAGGGTTTAGGGTTCAGGGTTCAGGGTTTAGGGTTTAGGGTTTAGGACACCTGCGGCTTCCCCCAATCGCAGCTCTCGCCCCAGACTCCCTGAGGCGCTGTGGAGATGGAAGAGATGGCCTGGGTTGGTCCTTTAAACCCATTGAGCAATATTACATATAGGGTCCCTTCTAAAACCCCAATAAAGGAAAATAGAAAAATATCCCCAACGCCAAGCAGTGCAGGGCGCCTTGTAAACCCCCAATAAGGAAAATAGAAAAAATGTCCCAAACGCCAGGCTAGCATCGGATCCCAAAACACCCGATTCTTTGGCAGCCCTGGTCCCCGGAGGGGTAGCTTTGGTCTCTTCAGGGGTCCAAGCCCACGTCAAGGAACCAGAATCGCCAAGAAGCAGCAGGAGGGCAGCAAGATGCCAGCTCGGCAACCATGCCATCTGATGAAGAGGCTGGCAGTGGGATTGCTGCACAGCCCGGAATGGAGGGCCGGGGCGCTCGGGCCCATGCCCTGGTGGCAGCTAGCGATGTTTTTTGCTTTGATTTTGGGCTTTTTGGGGGCACAGGAAGCCATGAAGCCATACCCTGAGGGCCGCTGATAACTCTCGCTGGAATACCTAAAGCCCTAAAAAAGCCCTAAACAGCCCCCAAAAACCCTAAAAAAGCCCTAAAAAAGCCCTGACAAAGCCCTAAAAAAGCCCTAAAAAAGCCCTGGCCGAGGCCCAGACGCTCCAAAATCTGGTCCAGCTGCAGACGAAGGCTGCGGTGATGAACCCTGGGGTCTGCAATGTCTTAGGAGTTTCGGGGGTTTAGGGTTTAGGGTTTAGGGTTTAGGGTTTAGGGTTTAGGGTTTAGGGTTTAGGGTTTACGGTTTAGGGTTAGGGTTTAGGGTTTAGGGCTTAGGGCTTAGGGTTTAGGGTTTAGGGTTCAGGGTTTAGGGTTTAGGGGGGGTTTAGGAGCTTTAGAAGCTTTAGGGCTTTAGGGCCGCCTCTTGTGTCAGGTTGCTGCGCTTCAGTCAGGGCTTTGGGATTAAAGCTTGGGTCGTGGGTGCCAGGGTACTTTTTAGACGTGTATGCGCCCCAAACGCTCTAAACGCCCCAAAAGCCCTAAAGGCCCGAAACAAAAACACCATCCCTGAATACCTAAGCCCAGAAATCCCAAACTTGACAGAAAGTCTTAGATGGCCCGTCCACCATCGGGCCATAAACCTAAACCCTAAACCCTAAACACTAAACCCCAAACCCCAAACCCTAAACCCTAAGGGTTTCGTCTGTTACGAGGCTTTCGAAGCTATTCGGCATCCCAACCTGTCTGCGCCACATCGCAGCAAAAAACCCTGAACATTGATTGTCTTAGCGGGTAGGCTGCAAGTAGCAAGGCAAGTAGACCTGCTAATTTTGAGATTTACAACCTGTTTTAGGGTTTAGGGTTTGGGGTTTAAGAGGTTGTAACCCTGCTTACTAAGTGCCCGGATTCTCCAGGTGGACCCCGAACCGTAAACCCCCAATCCCTAGTCCCTAATGATGCCGAAAAAACCCCAATGGTTTAGGGTTTAGGGTTTAGGGTTTAGGGCTAGGCGGGGCCATAACAGACCCACGCTTCTTCGGCAGTTTAGCTCTGTTGCCCTCAGAATCCCTTGTAAATACCGATGTTTCCTGGGTTTCGCCCATCACCTCATCCCCGCAATTTTTATCTAAAATGATCGTGCAATTTTTTTGGCATCCGTAGACTACACTGGTATTTGTGGAGTTTTTTGCACTACTTCGCACTTTCGACGTGTCCTAAACTAAGCCCTGTCTTGCTTGCATCCGCTTCTGCCCAGCCCTGGGTCTAAACAACACGTTTGCTTCACCATAGTTAGAAGAGAGCATCCATGGCCCAACCACGATGACATCCATAGTCTAATCCGTTCTGGGAAGAGAGCATCCATGGCCCAAGCATCATGATGTCCATGGTCTACTGTGTTCTGATGAGAAGAGAGCATCCATGGCCCAAGCATGATGACGTCCATGGTCTAAATGTTTTCTGCACTGCCATGGCCCAGCCATGATGACGTCCATGGTCCACTCCGTTCTGGGAAGAGAGCATCCAGGGCCCAAGCATGATGACGTCCATGGTCTACATCGTCTAATCCGTTCCGAGAAGGTTAAACCTTCTGGGCAGAAATGGCTGGAAGTTCTTGCTTTTCGGCGCACTGGGGAGCAGAAAGGCGTCATTTCTCAACACTAAAGGCTGTGACTTAAGTCCTGCATCTCAGGTTTGCTGGTGGGGCCACAGTTTTGCGCGGGTCTGTTGTGGACCCGCCAGGGTTTAGGGTTTAGGGTTTAGGGTTTAGGGTTTAGGGTTTAGGGTTTAGGGTTTAGGGTTTAGGGTTTAGGGTTTAGGGTTTAGGGTTTAGGGCCCTGTAAATGCCTGAACCCTAACATCCCTACAATCCCCCTGGGCCTCGACACGCTGGTGACCTTGAGGCCCGTAATGCCGAAGTCCTCGTAGTCCTCGTGCCTGTGTCAGAATTTCAGGGTTTAGGTTTAGGGCTTTTCGACTTTAATCCTAAACCCTGGTTGTGTTGGTTGAGCAAATGGCTGTTTTGGCTAGTTGGGAAATTTCGCAGAGTTTTTCAATCAAAGAATCCCAACCCTTCAAAGTAAAGTCAGGGTATTGCCAAGAGCATCAGTTTTTGGATACGCTTAGGTCCCTAAACCCTAAACCCTAAACCCTAAACCCTAAACCCTAAACCCTAAACCCTAAACCCTAAACCCTAAACCCTAAACCCTAAACCCTATACCCTAAACCCTAAACCCTAAACCTAAACCCTAAACACTAAACCCTAAACCCTAAACCCCAAGACCCAGACCCCCCCCCCCCCCCCCCACGAAGCCTGAATCGGCTCATGACCAGATCCTTGATCTGCGTCGCCCAGGGCATGGTGTCGTCACCCTGCTCTACGCGCACCTGAGCAAAGAAAAGTCCTAAACCCTAAAACCCGAAACCCTATAGGGGTTAGGGTTTTGGGTTTGGGGTTCAGGGTTCGGGGTCAGGGTTTGGGGCTTAGGGTTCGGGACGTTTGAAGCGTCTGGCAATCTCAGCGCCATGAAACTGCGAAGTAAGGCTCCCACACCCGAAACCCTAAAACTCCGAAATCCTAAACCCTGAGAGGCAAACCACGAAAATCCCTTCAACAAAAAGCCTTGACGTCCGAGATGCTTGGAGTTTAGGTTTTGGCCGCCCTAGCGCAACGCCTGCTTGCAAAAGCGCCTTAGGAAACGGAATCTGTATACGGTAACGTGGGGTCTAAGCCACCTTAACTGCACATAGTCGGAACACCCTCTACAGACCATCCCTGTACTTGGAGGTTCGTTGTACTTGGATGCTCTCCCTTCATTAAACGCTTTTCTGTGATGAACGATGCCGAGGTCGGCGCGTTGCCACCCGAATGGAGCTCCAGCACGAGGGATCTGCTTTGGCTTAGGGTTTAGGGTTTAGGGTTCAGGGTTTAGGGTTTAGGGTTTATGGTTTAGGGTTTTAGGGTTTAGGGTTTAGGAATCAGTCGGGACATATTTTCGGGTTATATGGTTATAGGGTTGAAGGGTTGTAGGGTTCAGAGTTTAGGGCTTCAGGGGTAGCATTTAAGTCACGGGGGAGATCTGTTTGAGTCATTTGGGGCTGTAGGGTTGAGAGCTTGGGGCGCAGGGATTTCGGTTCAAGGCTTAAAGCACGGGAGATTTGTTGAAGGCTTCTGTAGGCTCAGGGATCGCAAACCCTAAACCCTAAACCCTAAACCCTAAAATTCTAAACCCTGGACCCTAAACCCTAAACCCTAAACCCTAAACCCTAAACCCTAAACCCCAATCTGCAAACCGATCTTGGCATCCTCTTGTAGCTTTGGGCTTAGGGTTTTGGACCTAGGGTTCAAAATCACAGGCTGAAAAAGCTGTACATCAGCTGTGTTGTGTGCAGGGGGGTAGTTCGGGTGGGGCTAAACTGCAGGGTTGCGCTTTATGAATGCTAGGGGCTTACGGCTGGGAGGTTTGGGTTTAGGGTTTAGGGTCTAGGGTCTAGGGTTTAGGGTTTGGGGTCTGGGGTTTAGGGTTTCGGGTCTGGGGTTTAGGGTTTAGGGTTTAGGGCCAGTTTAGGGTTTAGGGTTTTAGGAAGCTGGAAGTCTTTCAGGTTTGGGATCTAGGCAGGGGTTCAAGACCTAGGGCTTAGTCGTTCGGCTTGCTTTACTTAGAACTTCCGGCCTTATCTGCGACTCCCGCTCTGAAGTGACCTGGGCAGGACGTACCAAAGCTTCCCCCACAACACTCGACACCCTAAACCGTACACCCTAAACCGTAAACCCTCAACCCTGAACCCTCAACCCTAAACCCGAAACCCTACATGTAAACCCTCAACCCTAAACCCTAAACCTTACGAGCCCTCAAGGGGCGCTCGATCTCATGCGCCCCAGGCCGCAGACCTGTTGAGATATTGCAAAGTACAGCGTGCATGAGACATAAACTTCATTTAGTTGGAGCCCTAAACCCTAAACCCTAAAACCCTAAAACCCTAAACCCTAAACCCTTTACCCGAAACCCGAAACCCTAAACCCTAAACCCTAACCCTATCCCTAAACCCTAAACCCTAGACCCTAAACCCTCATCCCTAAATCCTAAACCCTAAACCTGGTAATGTGTAGGTTTACACTCAGAGCTTGCCTTAGGAGCAGCTCTTCTACTGTCATGGCGGCATCGCAGCTTGAGCAAACCTATCCTGCTATGATCCCTACTAGGTCCATGGTACTTACTAACCAAAAAGTATTTTGCACTGATAACCCCATTATAACGATATTAGGGCAATTAAGGGGCTTATAAGTGGCTATCAGCACAGTTATAATTGGGTTATGAGTTCCCTGAACCTCCAAGGAGGGTTTAGGGCTTGCGGCTTGTAGGGCTTTAGAGGGTCTAGGGCTTATGGGGTTTAGGAATTTGGGGGTTGTAGAGATGCAGGCTTCCTTGAAGCTTCTTACTAACTGGCTATGATTCCAACTCAAATTCCCCTGACTACTGTATAGGATACCCAAGAATAGGCTGGCTTGAAACCGCAGATACGACGACGGCTTTGTAAGCCCCGTGAAGCTTCATAACCCCCGAAACCCTAAACCCTAAACTCTAAACCCTAGACCCTAGACCCTAAACCCTAAACCCCCCAACATTGTCCCAGCGAATGCTTAGTGAAGGGGTTTTCTTGGAAGCCGAAGCCGAACAAACTGCAAACACATACTACAGAGGCCTGAATAATTAGAATAGGGTTTTAGGGTTTTATATAGGGTCCAGAGTTTAGGGTTTATTACAGTATAACTATAAAGGGGCCATAAGGAAATACCATTAGAAATTGTTCGACCCGTATAGGCCTGTTCCTTCTCGCCACCACTAGGAACAGCCAGAATTCGTTCAGCAATCCA